AAAATACTTTCCCAAGGCTTTTACCACTGAGTCCAGTTCTCCATAGCACTCAACCAACATTGCCATCTGCCATTGTGCAATAGCGCTAGTCACATTTTTGAGCGTTGCCTACTGTTTCCTACGCAACATCAAAAAGGAAAACGCATCCATCCTTCCCCAAATCATTCTCTGTGTTGGAAACCTTCTTCCCCTTTCTTTCAAGTCCTCCGCTGTGATTTCCCCAGCTGCTAGGCTGCGATAATAGCAAGCACAGGAGCACTTCTTACACGCAGGGCAATGCAGGCTGCCCTACCCACACAGACATTTCCCTAGGAGGCCATGTCCAGCTCAGTCTGCAATGGTCCCCTCTGTGCCGGCTCTCTGAAGCCAGTGCCTCTGTTGGCTCCAACCTTGTCAATCACCACAAGCAGGACAAACCCTGCCCAACATCTATTTTAGGATTTTATGCTGCTGCACATCATTGCAGTACTTTTCACATAAGAACAATAGGAATTATAAAGTCCCTCATAGCAGGAATATTCCTCTTCACTCTCCATTGGAATAACAAATCATCACAAGTGTGTTCTGAAACAATAAGCGCTACACCCCAAATTCAGCTCTGCAGAAGGAGGAGAGCACACACAGCACTTGTACTAATTGACGCACACCTCAATATGAAGCAACAGTTCCTCCAAATCACTCAAACGCACATGATGGGTGACATAGTCTGCTTATTAGAACAAAAGACCAAGAGTCAGAAATCTGTGTTGAACTCCTGGCTCTCCCAGTAAGTTGTTGCTGAGTGACTCTTCTAGGAGGTCGAGAGAGGCATTTTACCCAGCTCTCAGCGATGTTTCTGAGGCACAACCACAGAGGGTCTGATTCTCCTCTGCCATGCACTTGCTACAACTATTTGCACCAGGGCAAAGGCAGGAAAATGAGGATCTACGCTTATCATCACTTCAGAAAGATAACAGCATCATAAAACAAAAACGTTCCTTTTTCTTCATAAACAATCAATCCATCCACATGTTAAAAAAATAAGTTTAATGTAAGTGGCATGTTTCATACAGAATTTAACAGGCACCCAAAACACCAGCTGTTTTCACGTTCCAAAGAGTTAACAAGGTGAAACCTGAACACTTCAGTCTTGTTCGTACATTCGCTGGCCAAACAGCAGGCCAAGGCAGTTTTACCGCCACTCATACAGTCATCCCTGTTCGTAAGGCCATGTAACAAAGCTGGAGGTCCTGTGTGGCTTAAACACCCGGAAGGCTTCAGAGCGTGCAGGGGTCACTGGGGAAGCTCTCCAAAGGGGCAGGCCTGAGTTAGCATGGGTCTGGGATGGACACGTTCTCCCAAACTGGTATTTCTATAATTTTTCTTAATTACACTTGAGGTCATTTTTAACCCCCCACCCTACCTCCCGGTAAGCATAACTGGAGTATTTAAAGCTCAAATATGGCAAGGGCAGGGGGGAACAACCCACAATCATGAAAAGGAACAAACTAGCTGCTCTTGTCGTCCAGAACGGAATCAGCACAACGGAAAGCTAAAAATGGAATTTTCAAACGATTTTGAAGCCGTGGTCATCTAAACAATAAGATAGGGCAGTTGCAGCAGATTTTGGAGCCTGATCTATCCCTTCAGGCAGTGGTGAATTTGGAAAGAGTAACAAATCTGAAAGAAAACGAACTTCCCCAGTGGCCACAGTCTGCAAGTACCTGCTTAATATGAAATATTTCTGGCAAATAACGTAAGCCACTTTTTTGACTATTGAAAAGCAGAAAGTCCAGCTTCTGTCCCTGTTTTCTTATTTGTTCTATTCTACTAAGTTTGCTTTCCCCCCCCTCTATTAAAAATGCCAGGTTTTCAATTAAAAATATATATATACAGGAAGAAAAACACACCTTAAGCACATATTTAATATAATATGTATTCTGTCTCTCCTTCCTTCTCTCCATTGTGGCTTGGCTCCCCTTGAGCTTGTAAGAAACCTTTCGAATCTCAACTCCTTGAGAAAAAGTATTTTGGCAAAGTGATCTTAAGTCTTAAAAAAAAACTTTAAACTTAAAAACACTGAATTTAAATTCTGAATCATTATCCAGATTTACTTATTCTGCAGTCTCCTGGGAATGCTGTGAAGATTAATTAGCTCTAGCTGGAAAACGCTCTGAAAAGTGCCATAAAAGTGTCAAACACTGCTCTAGTCATGTAGATCTAAAATGTTCAAATTATTACATCGTAAAACAAATCATTTGAAAACTACCTCTTCCACCTTGCCAGCATGACTTCAAAGGGACCTCGTTTCCCCTGCTGCACTGGTAGGATCGCACCACCTGCACACTGCTAACTATCCAAGTGCTAGTAATGACCAACAATGAGAGTATTTTAAACTTCATAGCACCTCCAAGGCCTCCTCCTCAATTATTTAATCTTCAAGTTGTCTATCTTTTTGTGGCACTGCAGACTCAAATAAAAAGATTCAGGGCATTCTGACAGTAGACACTTGGCAATATTTATTTAAAAAAAAAAAAAAAAAAAAGGGGAAATCAGTTTCCAGTCTCCTCTAAGCAACTTTTCTGAGCCCTATCCTTCTTTTGACTTGGCAAACACTATTTTTTCTTTTATGATTTGATGAGGACTTTTTTTCTTGGTATGCACTACTAAATCTGGATGCAGAAAGTATAAGTTGCAAAAGCAGTGCAACACAAGCCCTTGTTCAGCCCACCACTGCTGGAGGAGCAAGGCTGGGACTGCGGCTGATAACACCCAACAGCTGAAGCAGGCAAGGGTGGGGAACATAGCAGCACCCATATCCACCACAAATCACCCTTTCACTCATTATTCAAAGGAGCACTGAAATACAGCCACTGCAGGGTGAAACAAGGTCCTACCATCTGACCTGCAATCGGTTTCCACGCTGCGTCTTCAAAGACGACACAGCCTGGGAACAGGGGGAGGCGAGGGAGAGCTGCTCTCTGCTGTGCCATGCTGGGGTTCTGGCTGGTCTCTCCCTACGAACCAGAGCAGTTCACAAGCCAGGTGTACCTTAACGTTACTTGCCAAAATTTTCCAGCGCAGCCACCCCAGAAATGCCACAGTTAGTGCACCCAGAGCTTCAACACTTCAGACTGACAGCCATACCGGGGAGGAGGAAAGTACTGGGCTGGGAATTACCGGAAAGTCTCTCTGTCTGCAGAATAGGCTACAACTTGGACCTGCAGAACACTGACCCCTGAATTTGGGAGGCCCTTCTGTTTACACAAGTTGATACAAGAAACAGAAGCTATTGATACAACAGGAAACCCACCAAGGTGATGAGTGCAGGACAGCTGGCAGGGAAAACAGCAGTCCAGAGACTGCTCCCAGAACAAAGCTCTGGGGAACAATGCTAGGGAGCTCCACAGTTATGAGGAAGCTTCCAGACAACACAGTTTGAGACATATCACTGATACTATTTCTTTCCTGCAGAAACAGCCTTCAGTTCTCCCAGGGCTAATCTAAAGATCACACCAACGTGGCCCATTATTTGTTTAGCTCTGTGTGTTCAGTCTGCAGTATCTGTAATGTTTCATAATAAGATAATTTCTGGATTTGCTTTAGTTTAGAACTTTAGACAGAAGCTTCCTTGTTTTGCATCCAGAAGCCAAAGTATGTCGGCTTAAGACCCCAACGCTCACAACCTGCAACATTAAGCATCATTTTCTGTGTACATACTGGCTTTGTTCTCAACCACATTCACATCTCAGATCAAACAGATCATAAAGGAATAGTCATGCATTACCAGTCTTACTTATTTCACCATGATTGCTGACACCAGTGATTTCAGGGGAAAAAAAAAAGTCCCTATCATTTTGATCAACTTGTTTTTATCAGTGCACAGTTCTTTAAAGAACATGGGGAGAGGGACAATGCTCTATCAAAAGAAAAAAAGAGAGAACCGAAGCAAACTTTAGGACAGGTTCTGGACTCCATAAATAAAAAATTACTTAACTGACTGCAGAGCAATCGTCTGAGATCGAGACCAGTAAAACCAAGCTTAACACTTAACCCTCTCCCCGATCTGTTAGTAAAGCTCTCTGACGACCCAATTTTTGTTACTGGAAAGGTCAGAGAGCTAGTGTTTTCTATAACGACAGAGAATACATGCTGCCATTTCAGATTTTGCTCCATTTTCAAGCTCTCCTAGGTAAGACTCATCTCATCATAGTCTGGCAAGACAGAAGTAACTCTGAAAAAAGAGGAACAAACCAATTCAGTGACGAGTCAAAACCAAATGACAAGATCTAAACACTACAGAACGCTGCAATGGGTTCCCCATAATCACTGGGAAAGGATAACTTATTTGCTATGACTGGGAATTTCAAGAGCACATGACACTGAACTCAGCTCCCATCACTCCAATGGATTTGTTCTGTTAGGGTGAGACTCAATTACTCAGCACTAACTGCCTGAAAAGAACAAAGCCATTCAAAGCTATATAGTCATGTTAGAGTGAACAAAATGATACAGTGGGTAGAATGCACGTCTTGCACAAATTTAGAAAATAAAAAGTGGTTCAATTTGGCCCCATATTCTTAGTAGAGGATATGCAAAATGCAAACTACATAGAGAAGGGATGGCACTGGCAAGTGGGATACATACTACATGCCTAAAACACTAAGGAACATTTTCAGAAAAAGCGTGAAGATGGAGTAAGAGGGTGGGGTGCAAAGTTATCTGGCTTGCAACCTCCAGATAAATCACTGCCTTTTTTCATGCCCACAGGAATCAGAAACAGCAGCAAGGTAAGCTCCTATGGACTAAAAGAAATTTATATTAACTTTCACTGTGCAAAGAAAACAAAACACCCGATCAAGTGTTGCACTTTGATAACCAAAATGGCACCTCAACCCTCAAAAAAATACAAATTCCAGACACGTACATTAATTTATCAATAAAAAGTAGCACTGATAAATAAATTAATTTATATAAAAAAGGAAAAGAGGATATTGACACATTTGGGGACAGAAGAAGAATCACCTTCTCAGCCCACATGCGCTTGTTTTATTTACATATCCACAAATACCATGAAACACCATCCCAGCCCCCCCACTAGCAGCATGGTCACATGAATTCCATAGATGAGCAGTTCATTCATGAGGCTGAAGTCTACTCGCCTTCGCCCCAGTAAGAGGAGGATGATGGAGAGTTTGTACTGGAAACGCAGAAAGATCCGGATGCCAAGGTACTGAAGGCAAAACAAGATAGAGAGTGCCACCCAGAGGATGGAGGTAAACAGGCTGCAGCTGAAGTACAGCAGGAAACGAATGAATCCATACATCCATCGGGATTTGAGATAGATGTCGAAATTGTTGTACTTGGTGCGCACCAAGTGAGTGGTCCTTACCGGGCCACAGGCCGAATGCAGGCAGGTCGTGTGGGGGCCGTGGAAAGAACGGACCCGCCGGGGAATGGGGATTACAGGCATCAGGCACCCCACCGGTCACAGAATCCCAGGGCAGGATTTACAGGGCACATATCAAATATCATCCATTAAAATGGAAGAGATCCAGCAGCCTGGGAACACTAACTCTCTGCTGAGTTTCCAGGAAGGAAGAAACCTGCAGGAAGGCAGAGAAGGAAAATACATTTAATACTCTCCAGCGAGATGGCTACTCACAGCTGCTTCACAAAACTTGGCTCTGCTTACAAAAGTATCATTTACCAGGCAGACACGTAGAAATACAATTTTGTTTCCATCATCACCATGCCAGAATCCCAAAAGCACCTTATTAGCATGCAATTTCAGTGCTGGTCATAACCTGTTAACCCTTGTACTGTTAATGCAGCTAAAACAAGAACTTTGCTCTGGAATTATCCCAGCTAATTCAGAGGTCCTCCTCAATCAAACAGGAGACAGGCCTGCAACAGTCCTTGCCTATGCAAGGAATAATATTAATGTATGTGCTTGCATTTGACCGAGTTTCATTTATTTAACAGAAGCTCTCCAAGGGCTTTTACAAATGAGTTTTACAGTCCAGACACAGTGGTGATTCTAGATTGCTGCTCATTTCAAAACTTGGCAAAGCTTCACCAAATAAACAAACTGAAAATAATGGAAGGTTTTGCAAGAACAATGAGGCAATAATGTTTTTGCACTCCACAGGATGCACCTCCCCTTGCTTAGACGAGTCTTGCAGTCTCACGGTCCTTGCATCCAATTGCAAGGAGCGTTTCAAAGGTACCTACCATTTTATTTCTCCCTTTGTGACCTACAGAAATAAATTAAAGATCTTGATCTTCTGGAGTGTTTAGGATTTATAATCTTAACATCCTTCCACACACCCATTGTTTGTGATCTGACAGGGATGAGCAGTAGCCTGTTAGCTGCTCTCTGCTTCACCCCAGGCTTATAATGTGCCAAATTCCGGGAATTATGAAATGACAATACACTCATCAGATAACCTTAGGAAACAACAGGGACCTCCCCAGCCTCCTCACACACCCAGGCATTCAGACCTGGGCAGATCTTCCCTTTACTGAGCAAGAAATACTAATACTATTAAAATTAAAAACAGCATATTTTAAAAGTGACTTCAATAATTTTCATTTTGTTACTACCAAAAGTATCTGCAGAGTAAACTGTAAGGTTACAGGAAATTGTATTTCGATATCAAAAATGTTTTCTGATAAAATTTGTATATTTGAATAAGTCTCTTCCTCAACCTACTCCTGTAACTGGAAATAACCATTCTGACCTCTTCTGTATGGCGCCAGGTTCTAATCCCTTTTCTTTAGTATAGAAATTTTGCCTGTGATCTGTTAGCTCTATATGAATCAGAAGCTAACGAAAAGGAACGTGGGTGAACTCATGATTAAGGAATTAGGAAACTGAGGTCTGTTCTCCACTAGCAAAGGCCCCATCATAACTTTATCTGCCTCTTTTCCCATAATTTGCGGCCTGTAAAAAGGAAATACTAAGCAGAAGAATATATTTTGCAAGGCATACAAAGTGGTTAGATACTAAACAAACACTACATAAAAACAAGACAGTTTTGTGTCTAAAGCATGCAACTGACCACACTTTCCATACGCTGTGCATATACCTTCCAGTATTTGTTTTCAGAGTTATTTTTGGAGGAATAAATTAGCAAGTTAAGTTAAAATTCACATGCTCTGCATTTAGAGCATTTCATTTCTGATGGCACAGCTAGTCTTCACAACCTCTTTCATCGGAGCACGGAGATACCTAATAATCTTCCAGTAAACTCTTACATACCTACTTAACCTGATTCCCTGAGCAGCCACATCAAAATCAGCGGGATCACTGGAAGAGCACTCAGGAAGCCCAGGCCTAAGTAACAGAGCACAAACCCCACCTGCATATCTGCTTTCTCCATAAGCTGCAGTTTGCTGGGGCAAAAATCAACATATTGGCTTCATGCCTGTGCCTTACTGTACAAGAGAAGGTGTAATTCTCTCTGACAACATCATTATCAGGTGAATCTGAGAGAAATGCTCAAACTGCTCAGCTGATGAGACTTACTTGTTGTAAACAGTAGCAGCTTGTTCTCTTTTACTGTACCTCCCCATAGAAACAAACAGCCTTTAGTTGGTTTATACTCTTTAAGTAAGCTCAAATACCAACAATGCAACAGCCACAGAGGGATGCTAGGGATGCTGTCAGAATTAAAAAAAAAAAAAA